ATCCTATAGCCATACTGATGAATATCTTGCATATCACCATAGAACCTTCATCTGGAGATGGATGGAGATAGAGACAGAGACCCACACTGGAGCACCGGACTGAGCTCCCAATGTCCCAAGGAGGAGCAGAAGGAGGGAAAATATGAGCAAAGAAGTCAGGACCACGAGGGGTGCACCCACCCATGGAGACAGTGGGGCTGATCTATTGTGAGCTCACCAAGGCCATCTGGACTGTGACTGAAAAAGCATAGGATAAAACTGGACTCTCTGAATATGGCAGACAATGAGGGCTGCTGAGAAGCCAAGGACAATGGCACTGGGTTTTGATCCTACTTCATGTTCTGGCTTTGTGGGAGCCTAGCCAGTTTGGATGTTCACCTTCCTAGACCAGGATGGAGCAGGGAGGACTTTGGACTTTCCACAGGCCAGGGAACCCTGACTGCCCTTCAGAATGGAGAGGGAGGGGGAGAGGAGTGGGGGTAGGGGGAGAGGAGAGGGAGGAGGGACAGGGAAAAGGGAGATGGGGAGGGAAATGGGAGGCGGGGAGGAAGCGGAAATTTTTTTCTTTCAATAAAAAATTATATTAAAAAAGATTTCAACATAATTCATTTTACTTATTTGTTTCTATTGAGCTATATAATTTTCCTGATCCACTCCTTTCCTCTCCCCTTCTTTTCTACCCTATCTCATGGTTCCCATGCTCCCAATTTACTAAGGAGATCTTGTCTTTTTCTACTTCCCATGTAGATTATATCCAGGCATATCTCTCTTAGGGTTCTCTTTTTTGTCTAGGTTCTCTTGGATAATGAATTATAGGTTGTTTGTTTTTTGCTTTATGTCTAAAAGCCACATATGAGTGTGTACATATGATGTTTGTCTTTCTGGGTCTGGGTTGCCTTACTCAATATGATGTTTTCTAGATCTATCAATTTACCTGCAAATTTCAAGACGTCATTAATTTTTTTTTCTGCTGTGTATTTCTCCATTGTGTAAATGTACCACATTTTCCTTATCCATTATTTGATTGAGGGACATTTAGGTTGTTTCTAGGTTCTGGCTATGACAAACAATGCTGCTATAAACATAAATGAACACATGTCCTTCTGGTATAATTGAGCATCCTTTGAGTATATACCTAGAAGTGGTATTGCTGGGTCTTGAGGAAGGTTATTTCTTGATTTTTGGAGATTAAAAAAATGGGGTAGAAGCCTAAGCTAAGACCTCTATACAGAGGAATCTAAAATGGCTGAAAGACACTTAAGGAAATGTTCAACATCCTTAGCCATCAGTGAAATGCAAATCAAAACAACTCTGAGATTTCATCTTATACCTGCAAGAAAGACCAAAATAAAAAACACTGATGGCAACTTATTCTGGAGAGGATGTGGGAAAAAGGGAATCCTGTTACATTGTTGGTGGGAGTAAAAGCTGGTATATCCCCTTTGGATATCAGTATGGGTATTTCTCAAAAAAAAAAAAAAAAAAAAAAAAAAAA